ATAGATAGGCAACTTATAATACATTTCAATTTTATTATACAAGGGCGCCTCTGGTAGTCGGAGGAAGAAATACTAATGGAAGAGAGGGGTGCGGGGAAGGGGGGTTGTTTTAGTTAATTTAAAATAAATTTAGACATACAGATAAGAACACTTTGTGTGCTTTTAATTAGGTCGAACATATTATAAACGATAAATCAACTTAATTAAAAACATACAAAGTGTTCTATGTCGGATATTAATTAAAAAATATATTAAAAAAGACTAGAAATAGTGTATATTAAGTTGTTACAGTTATAATTTAATCTTTTGGCGGTTTTCAGCAAATAGCAGGCAGTTTTACATAATTTTCCTCCCTTGAAGTGAATTGGAAACGGCTATATAATTTTGGTGTAGGCAAGATTCCCAGTTTGTTTCCGTTTGAGACCTGAAATAATAAAAACAAATTAAATTAGATGTAATCATCTGCTGATCATGCTAATATAACACAACGCGCGTCCTTAATTCCTTACATGCACCGTAAAAAAATTAAATAACTGCTCAGCAAGTAGCATTTATTAGCAGTACTAATTTAAAAATCTATAACTGTAAGTAGATATGTTTAATTTATTTCTACCATTGTATCCTTCGGAAACCAGGTGTACAACAATTAAACTCCATGATAAAAAATAATTAAGAGTCTGTACAAAACACAAATTGTCCCACCATTTTTAAAAAACATTGTCTAAAACAGAATACTGGCAAAAACTCTGAAGGAATTTAATTTTACAATAATTCGACAAATCAAAACGAAATCAAACCGTAAAATCACAACAAAAGCGTCTCTGAGTGACAGTTAAAAATCAAATTTTATTATTGTCAGATATTGACATTTGCATTGTTAATATTTTGCGCCTCTGCATCTTGGAGGAAAAACTATTTTTAATGAACCGTCATTTCCATTTAAGTTTCTCAGCCATGGCGTAATGCTTAGGTTGTTAAAATGACTTTTTGTATTGTCAATCACGTCGCAAAAATTTGACGCATTTGAAAAAAAAATATACCTAATAATAATTAAAAATAATATTTTACTTTCGAAAACTATTCAATGCTCTTTTAATGTGTTTATTTTTTTAGTAGTTATTTTTTTAGCAAGTTCCCAGTAAAAATAGTTAATTAACTTAACAGCCGTGCTTCTTTACGGTTTACACTATCAATTCTCCTCTGTACATGATATTATTCCTTAACAGCTCCCATGTAAACACACAGTTAAATGACTATGACGTTAAACGATGCCTATTGAAGTTTAACAGTAAAGACCTCTACCAGTCCGTTATGTGCTTTCAAAGAACACTTAAGTGAAATGGATCGGACAACTTGCACCTGGTTCGGGAAAACAAGTCCTTCTTTGGTTGGTTTTAAGGAAATACCAGTATATTTCATAACCAGCAAACCATAATAATTACTCATAATAACTCGTAATTAAATACAAATGTATTTATATTGAGGAATCGAAATTACTTATAAACGTTTTAGTGGTAATTTTGACATAACCTGGAATCATTTAAATGAGAAAGTATTAATGACTATTTCAACGTTGGTGATTTATTATTATTTCGTAAGTTAATCTAATTTATAATCTATTTCCGCTACTTTATTAGGTTTAAAACATTTATTTTATAGTCCAAACGATTCTTATATTAATTATTTTGTTTATATCATTCCCATGACAGAACAATTTCTAACGTTCAAGAAAGTAAGCTATTTGCTAACTTAATTGAATGCTACAAAGCTTTCCAACTTGGCTTAGATAAAACAGTTGTTACGATAGAAGAATATTAAAGTATATAATAAGCATACACATGAGGGGCGCTCAGCATTCTTATAAAGTATACTTGTGTGGCAGCATTTAAGTATACTTGATCCAAGTACACTTGTACCTTGTCTACCAAACTTAAAAGAAGTAGATAATATAACTAAACATTTTTAAGCACCACAATTTATACCCCAGTTGTAGGTATTCAAACGTAAAATAATACATTCAATAAAGGTGGGCTCCAAAATATTGACAAGCACTAGTTTACCACTATACACCAAAACATATATTGTTAACACTGTACGTAAGTTTTGCTCAGTAGATGATTAAAACTGATTTTTTGTTTCTTTTCCTTTTAGAACTGAGTTTTAAACATGACTGGCGAAACGCATGGCCAATGTTAACAATATAGTGCTTTTTGGAATATAATGGTGAAATATAGTGTTTTATTTTTCTGTTGTCAGCTCAACTGTATATAAGATTTGGTACTTTAATATCTGATTAATTGGTTTTCTAAGGAATTATTGAAAACTCTAGCCTTTGAGCTTGTACTGATTTCACCAAATATAGTATGTGATTGGTATGATTTACTGCAAGTCTAAATAGTAGTGTTTTTTCGTTATATCAATGTAAGATTTTCCTAGATAGTTTAAAGGTCTATGTAACGATGTGTACTTGGAATAACCAAGAGGGATTAAAACAAGATAGAATGGATAAGATATAAAACATAGGTATAATAGACGTGATATAGAGAATTAAACGCCGCCGCAACAGGCGCACAAGCATCAACTAGTGACAGAGGCTGTAAAAGATCGACCACCAAAGTAACATAGTAGTAGGTACCCGAGAGACAGAAAGATCAATCCTCCTCCTAGGTGCCTTCTCTGTTGAGGTTGGCGATTAATATGGCTATAACTTTCTGTCCAGAGCTTGTTGAGCAAGGGTGTTTCCGTCGGTGTGGGTCCAATCTCTTATGTTACGTAGCCATGATTTATTTTTCCTCCCTATATGCTACATTTTTTTAGTATATTGGACTGGGTCCTTTTGAACTTGATGGCATTTGTCCATCAGCAGTTTACCATTAGCTGAAGAAGTATGATTCTTGGATGGGAGGGTATAAATTCATTATTAAATGACATTATTATCATCAAAAGAATATACTAAAACCGAATTATAATGAAAAAACTTTCCTGGACTGCGTCCTTTTGAACTAGATGGCATTTGTCCATCAGCAGTTTACCATTAGCTGAAGAAGTATGATTCTTGGATTGGAGAGTATAAATTCATTATTAAATAATATTTTTACCTATCATCAAAAGAATATATTAAAACCAAATTATAATGAGAAAACTTTCCTAGACTGGGTGGGTCTCTTGAATTGGATGGCATTTGTCCATCAGCAGTTTACCATTAGCTGAAGAAGTATGATTCTTGGAATGGGGGGTATAAATTCATTATTAAATAGCATTATTATCATCAAAAGAATATACTATAAAACCGAATTATAATGAGAAAACTTTCCTGGACTGGGTCCTCTTGAACTGGATGGCATTTGTCCATCAGCAGTTTACCATTAGCTGAAGAAGTATGATTGTTGGATTGGCGGGTATAAATTCATTATTAAATAACATTATTATCGTCAAAAGAATATACTAAAACCGAATTATAATGAGAAAGCTTTCCTGGACTGGGTCGTCTTGAACTGGATGGCATTTGTCCATCAGCAGTTTACCATTAGTTGAAGAAGTATGATTCTTGGATTGGAGGGTGTAGATTCGTTATTAAATGACATTATTATCGTCAAAAGAATATACTAAAACCGAGTTATAATGAGAAAACTTTCCTGGACTGGGTCGTCTTGAACTAGATGGCATTTGTCCATCAGCCGTTTACCATTAGCTGAAGAAGTATGATTCTTGGATTGGAGAGTATAAATTCATTATTAAATAATATTATTATCTATCATCAAAAGAATATATTAAAACCAAATTATAATGAGAAAACTTTCCTGGACTGGGTGGGTCTCTTGAATTGGATGGCATTTGTCCATCACCAGTTTACCATTAGCTGAAGAAGTATTATTCTTGGAATGGGGGGTATAAATTCATTATTAAATAGCATTATTATCATCAAAAGAATATACTATAAAACCGAATTATAATGAGAAAACTTTCCTGGACTGGGTCCTCTTGAACTGGATGGCATTTGTCCATCAGCAGTTTACCATTAGCTGAAGAAGTATGATTCTTGGATTGGAGAGTATAAATTCATTATTAAATAATATTATTATCTATCATCAAAAGAATATA